TTTTCAGATAAATCAACATTACAGGTAATTTCTGTAGTACTAATATTTATGACAGATGCTCGTTTGTTTGAGTAAATTATTAGTTGATTACTCTCTGACAATGGGATAATTTCTGTAATATTTGTTGTCATTTTCTCTGACTTTCTTTGTTTAACTTTTTTAGTTTTTTTTCCTAACTTGTGTTATTTAATAACAATTACTTAATAACAGAAGTTGTTAAAAATATTATTATCGAAAAGGTGTTTAAAAATGAGAATAGTTTATAAGTTGCTTTTCCTAAAGAAAAAGAATTGTCGTATAAAACAAATTGAATGCCTTTAGTTTACTAACAACAACCACATCCTTTTTTTAGTCTTGTTCTTTTTAAATAGATAAATAATTCTTAACACCAAAGACACAAAAAAAAATAACGTGTTTATGTTGGTAAATCTTTAACTTTGTCACAGATAAAATAATCTTTCTGCTTTACATAACAATTTTATATAAAATTCTTGTTATTCATAAAATTGATCTCAAAATAATCAGAACTTTAAACCCTGAAATAAATGTCAGAAAGTAAATCATCAACCTCATCATCATCTCCATTTTCTTCTGTTTCATCTTCTTCTTCACTGTCTTCTCATCTACTTTTAGATAACAAAGAAACAGATGAACAAATGTCAGAGAGTGAATCATCTTCTTCATGTGATGAGTCTAAAGTTAAAAATACAACTAACGTTAAACCAACATCTAGACATTCTTTAAACACGAAGTCAAAATCAAGTCCTATGTCAGAAAGTGAAACTTCCTCATCTGGTTCAAGTGGTAAATCATCTAGTGAGTCTTCATCCACCCCTCCAAGTGTCAAAGAAGTTATAAAACCTACAATGGAAATTAAATCAAAGCTAAGTACTCAACCAGTTATAAAAACAACACCTAATAAGAATCAATCATCTAACACTCAAGAGTCCTTATCACAATTAGTACCTTCAACAAATAAGCAAAATGTAACAGAACTATCTGAAGACGATTCTTCTTCAGATACTAAAGTTACCAAAAAAATGTCTGAAGACTTGTCAATAGATTTGGAAAAAAGTGATGAAGTTAGTGACGAAGATAGTAAAAGTAGTGATGAAGATGATAAAAGTAGTGATGAAGATGATGACAGTCATAGTGTCGATGAAGAAGAACGAATTGCAAACCAAAATAAAAAGTATTTAACACAACTATTAAAAGAATTTGGGGATGATGTAAATGAATTAAGAATGAAAGCAACATCATTTAAAGCAGTAAATATTGAAGAGATCACTTCTGCGCTAAGTCAAGGCATTAACATGTTTTCTGATTTAGAGTTAGAATTACTTGGAAAGGAATGTGTTGTTCCTTCAAGCTTGAATCAAAGTTGATTGAATTGTTTTTTAAAAAATAATTAATTAAATATTTTTATCAAAAACTAAAATAACTAAAAAAAAAAAAGAAATAGAAAAGAAAAATGATGAATGACACTAATTCCATCAAAGATGAACACCTGATATCTCCTTCTAAAATTGCTATAAAACAAAACTTCTCACAAATGGATTACCAGTATGGATGTTCTTGTTATATTGCTAAATTAGAAGAATCAAATGAACAACAACGGTTATATTTTAAACCTGAAAAAGAGTATGGTATCGGAAGCCATTCGTTGTGTTCTATAAGATTAACACCAAATGCTGAACCATTAATTGCATTGTTTCAAGTTAATTTAAGAGGGGATGTGAGTATTATTCCATACGCTAAAAAAACACCAATTAAAATCAATGGAAATAATATCACTACAGAAACAAAATTAAATAACTTTGATGAGTTAGACATAGGAGATCTTCATTTTCAATATATCACGTTCTATGAAAATGTTAAATATCAAAATAATCCTGAAGTTTGTTTTTTATGTTTACTTTGTTCTATTAATAAAATAATATTTATATTTTAGTTCGAAAATCGATATCATAGATTATTTATTAAGCTTGCATTAAAAAAATTCTTTAATGTAGACATAACCAAAAAAGATGAGGAGCTCAAGTTGATTCTACCTCCTTTTTTATGGTCTGTTTGCTCCTCTTCTGATATAGGTAAAGCTCTCACTTTAAGTCTTAACGAATTAAAAAAAGTTACTCCAGTTCCTGGAGGTGATGAGTTTGTTGGTCTTTTAAGACAAATGATTTCTCAATTTTTTTGTGTATCTTCAAGTAGTACTGGGCTTAAAGTAGGTGGTTATGAAGCAGAGTTATGTAGTTACACCAACGAAATTAAAAAGACGCCTAGTCGTAAAATAAATTTTGATGAAATGCAAGACAGTGAAGATCCTCTTGAAATCTTTAGAATGGCAAGTGAAAAAAAACAAGAAAAGATTCCAAAGAAACCTCAACTAACTGATAATTAAAAATAACTATCTTTGTTAAAATTCTTATTGCTTTTATTATTAATTTGTAAAAAAACACTCTTTTTATTAACTAGAAGAATAAATTACGTTCAGGTGTTAGAATATAATTGACAACAACAATTCAGTTCAATTGATTAAAAGATAGTAAAATAATAAAATAATAGAAATACCAAATAAGTGAATAAAGTATCATTAGAAATAGTCATTATAACTAGTCAATGTGTTGTGTTCGTTAATTCACACTACAAAACTAACTACAATAAATAGTATCTCTCAAAAAATTTTACAAACTATATTTACATTCTAGGTTTGTTTTCTTAAAATTAACGAAAATTTAATTATTTAAAGTAGTAATTCTTCAAGAATAATTTAAAAAAAGTTTAATCTAGGTGTATCGTTTTATATACATTAAACAAATACAATTCATTAGATAATTATTTTAGATATAACACGTTAAGATATAGCTAAAATTTATTAAATTATTAGCAGCTAAACCTTAATTTTTACTAATAAAGAAACTTATAGATGAAAAGACTAATGTATAATGTGATATGATTGTAATGTGATATGATTGTACTGTCTGAATTTATATTGTTATCAGGTTAATTGAGTTTAAGAAGGGATAACTTATTAGGGGTTTATAGGACTATATATCCATAGACTTTTATTCTATTTTTTAAAAGAAATAAATAACTTTTTGATAATTAACAATTTGTGAATATATCAATAAAACAACTGGTATTGAATAATCACCATTAAGCATTGAAACTACCAAACAACAGTATTATGTTAATTTCTGTGAGCATGATGAAAAAGTTATACCATCAATTAAACAAGAGAATTACATTTGAAAATCTTTTCATAACATTTTAAAGAATACCTAAAAATTCTTTATTAAAAAATAACATTAGAGTTATTGAAAAATTTCAATAGAAAATATTTTTATGATTTATTAGCTTAAGATGGTTAAAGGTATTGAATGATATGGATAATAATACTTCTGATTTCACTTGTTAGATTTTCCAAGATAAAAAGAAATAATTTTGTATTCTACCATATTAAAATATATATCATTTAAAGAGTCAATTTTATAAAATCATATTTTTATTAATGGTTATTATGTGTTAAGTTTATTGACTATATTAACAAGTTACTTTATTTTTACTATTAAAAATATTTTATCTAAATATATATATACATAAGGGATTTGTTACTTAGTTATAATTACATTTCATTTATTTTGTTGAACTAATCTTTATTACAATAATCCATTGATAATATTTATTAATATTTTAATATAATTTACAACCAAAAAACAAACATAAGTAAATAAAAATAATTTAAAAGAAGAGTATTTATCAAATGCAATATAATTTTAAATCACTTTTTAAAAATAAAATTGATTTATTCATTACTATTATTTTAAACATCTTATCCAATTAGTTAAAAATATATAAATATTATTTTCAATTTATTTAATAAATATAAAATCAGTTCTACGTAATTTAGAATTAGGACGATTGTTTTTATTATTTAAAATTAAAAGAGGTAAAAGAAGTAATGAGATTTTATATAATCGTTTTTGGTTTATACGGAGCATTCTCAAACACTTATTTTTAATTATTTTCCAATATATTAGTTATTATTTATAATAAATTTATAATAGTTCAGTCATAGGTATTTAAAAAACAGTAGTTTATTAATTAGTAGATACTAGTTCTTTAGATAAAAAATGCATCATTCTTGCTATTTATTCAGAGCCAAACTATTTATGATAAAAGAACTATTTGAATTATTTGGATCATAGGGTAATCTCCATTTTATGTCTTCATTTCAAAATAACAACAATGAAGAGCCTAGTAATGAAGAAAATAAGAAGAAACTACTTCCAAAAGAGACAAATACTTCAATAAAAAGAAAGACATACATCAATTCAAATCTTGACGATACTTGCTTGATTGGATGTTTTGCTTTCTATCATAATATTACTGTAAGAAGAAGTACTCTTAAAAGTAATGACCATATTGAAAAGTTTATAATAGTTAAAGTTGATAATGAGGAAATAGAAGAGAAGGTTAGAGTAGATTTTGAAGAATTCAAGCAAAAGTTATTCATCCTAAAACCAAATGCTGAAAACAGAACAGTTTTTAAATCTCTTCAAAACATTTATTTAAATAATATTATGGATTATCTTATTAAAAACCAAAACCAAATAAATGAATTTTTAACAAGGAGACCTAAAATTAGTGTAAGAAGAAGAAGATTTAAAACTTTTAATGGGAGAACTCTTGAAGAATGTAGACAGTTTGGGTATGCATTAAATCATTTTCTTCAAGAAAATATTCCAACTAACAAAAAGAAAAAAGAGACACAATTTGTAATTACTAGGGATCTGATTGATTTAATTTTAGAACAATATCCTATGTCACCACCATTTTAATTACTTTAATATCAATTAATATTGTTTACACTATACTCAAACATTTTGTCATTTTATTATTTATGTTGTCATAGTATTCTTTTGAATACATATTCTTAGTTTTTGTAATTTGGTAATAAATTATTTCATTTTTAAAATTACTTTTTCATAGGAGAGAATATAAAAAATGTTATATCTTTTCTGGTTTTGTTTCATTTGCAAAAATATGAAGTATATCGATTTAATGGATAATAAATATATATCCTAAACAATTAAAAAAAATAAAAATTAAACTGAATTTCTCAGTGCTCAATTACACAAGTTATATTAATTTTATAATTCAATATGGTTTTATATTATTTATCAAACTTTGCAATAAAGTTAAATATTTATATACACTCAATGAACGAAAAAGAAAGGTACATTACAACTTGTTTTTTTTCTAAGTATTTATCAAACTAATAACTAAGAACAAAAATTTGTAATATTGAATAATATGACGTAATACAATGGCAAAGATAATGGCTATCAACAAAGAAATAACGATTGATTGAAATGCATTATAATATTGAAATTGTAGATGAAAAGTGATAGAATACTCTAAACTTAAACCATGATTAGCAATAAATAATACCAATATAGTTTGGTCATAAAAGATTAAAAAGTATTAAGTTTTAATGAAATTATTTCGATGAAGAAAGTTGTACATAGCCAAGAGAAAAGAATTGGAAAACGAATGAATTAGAAGGAAATAATGAAATATGAAAATAATTATACAACCAAAAAAGAGAACAAAAATATATAATAATGTTTAAAATACTAAAAAACGCTTAAACGTTGCAATGGTTATATAAAAACAATAAACAAATGAATTATATAAATATTTATTTATATGATACTAAAAATATTAACAATAAAGAAACTAAAAGAAACGTAAATAACTATCCAATTGAAACCCACTTAACCAAGTAGAATAAAATAGTACTTGGTTATACAATATGTGAAAGAAAGTTTATAAGTTATTTAACAAATAGACTAGAACATTGACCGAGATAAAATATAAAATTTAAATTAAAAAGTTATAGCTATTGAAAAATAAATAATCAAAGAAATGCATGTCAATCAATTAAGTATTGTATTAAAAATATTTATTACTATTAAAAATAATTATCAATAAAAGATTAATGATAATAATCTAATAGAATTACAAATGATATTAAATAAGTAATACAACCATACGAAACGAACATCATAATATTATTTTCCGATGATAATAAATGTAATTTATTATCAATATTAAACATTTCAATAAAAAACCAAACTAACAGAAATAAATAATAGTATCATATAGAGCAAAACAAGTAATGAAATACAAGATAAATTATAAACTTTTTCTGAATTTTTGAAATAATCGTAATGAATAGAAGAAACAAATAAAAGAATAAAATATATTTGCATTATAAATTAAAACCATAATCAAAATTGAGTGTTAATAAAAATAGTACGAAAACAATCGGATCGAATAAATAACTACTTAAAAATAAAAGAGATTATGTAATATAATAACAAAATAAAGAAACAAGACATACTATTAATAACAAAAATACAACACGTTAAAATATTATCTAAGAAGAATAAATAATTTATCAGCTGATAAAAACAATTAAACAAAATATTGAAATTATGAAACAAAAACATAATTATATACTAGTTAAAATAAGAGAAAATAAGGCAACACGCTAATTAAAATCTATTGTTTTATATTAATCCAGAAAAGTATACCATTCAATAAAAATTTAACTCATTGACAAAGAAACTAATTCATTTACTTCTTAACATAATTCATTTCGATTTAAATTGTACTCTTTCCTATTATTTAATAAAATAATACAATGAATGTGAATATTTCAAATAAAATAAAACAAGAATGAAATGTGAACATTTTTATATTCACCATTTCATTTATTGATAAATGAAATATTCATATTCATTTATTGATTTTATTTTATATTCTTTTTTAATTTTTATATTTCAAATAAATAATAATGAATAAAAATCATTCCATTTCAACCACAATGATTCGTTGTGGTGTGAAATGTTCTGGTTCGTGTTTTCCACAAAGTAAATTTGTTATTCCTTTATATGAAAAGGATTCTTGGTTACAAGATGATTTTGTTTTATTATTTTCTTTATAAACAATAATATCATCATGTCCATATCCAAATATAAATAAATATTCACTTGTTTGATTACATAAATAAAATGCATGTTGTATTTCTTTAATACCAAATTTATTCATTCCTTGTACTTCCTTTGATTCTAATGAAAATAAAAATGATTTTGGATCATTAATATCATCATCAACTTTATCAATTTTTTCATTAATATATCCTCCAATTTTATTTCCTTTTGTATCTTCAATAATAATTATGAGATGTTCTTTATTTATTATTCTTTCTTTAAATATTGTTTTATTATTATTCCATTCATCATTTTCTGAATAAAATATTATATTTCCTATTTTTCTTGATGTCCATTCTTCTATTTCTTTGATTTCTTCTTTGATATTCATTCCTTTCATTATTTCTATGCTTTCTCCTTCTTGTTTCTTTATTTCTTCTTCTTTTCTCTTCTTCTTCTCAAAATATTCACTATAATATGTGTTCCATTCTTCTTTCTTTTTGTTAAATGATTCTGTGATTTTATCTTTTTCTTTTGGTGTTCTGGATATTTTATCTTTCATGTTCATTTCTTCAATTGAAATGATTTTATCTATTAGTTCATTCCGTGTTTTACTTAGTATTTCAGAATCTGAATTACATTCTTCTATTATTTTCTTCATTTTATTTTTAATTACTTCTATTTGATTAATTATTTCTTGACTTTTTTCTATTACTAGTTCTCTTCTTCTTTCTGTTTCATCCATTCTGTCAAATATTCCTTCTCCTCTTTTAATAGCTTCTGAATATGTTTCATTATCTTGTTTCTCAAACACTTCATTTTTAATACATCCTAAATAATAATGATGATGTTTATTAATATCATCAATTGATTGTTGAATATTTGGAAGTGTTTCTACTTCTTCTTTAAAGAAATGAGTGTTCTTGTTTATTAACTCTTCCATTTTAATTTAATAAATATCAGATCATTCAACACATATTTATAACACTTCTTTTTATTTTTTATTAAATAATTCTATTAACCAAAAAAAATTTAACCATTTTTTTATTCAATTTTAAATAACAATATTATATAATAAAATTAATAACATTGTTATTTCTTTTTTTTTGTGTTTTTCAATAATTGTGTATAAAAAATTTAAGTATAATATTAAGTAATGATGATGTACAAATGATGATAAATAATATACAATAAAAAAAAAATGAAGTTCTAGATAGTACAATAGTAGTTTAAACTATGGTATTATTCATTTCATATAAGAATAAAAAATGCTCATCATTAAAGAATACACAACAATAAATGACATATTGATATGTTGGTGATATAATAATTCATCAATAAAGAAATAATAAATTTTTCATACAGTAAATAAATTTAATAGAAGTTAAATTTAAAATTATGTGAAATAAAGAAAGAATAATTTAGAAATAAACAATAAAATAATTTAATTAATTAAGTACAACCAATCAATAAAGAAAATCACTAATAGTGAAAGAACAAATTGACACCACAAACAATATCGACAACAATTTTTAAAATGTTTAACTTTTTTATCCAAAAATTTCTCATAAACAGTAGAGTGTTGATACTATAATAAGACTTAATTTAAAATGAATGTTGGTAGAGAAACCATAGAAACTAAAACCACTAAAATACTTATTTCTCAATATAATAAAGTTTGGTTAATATTCTATTAATTAAAATAAAATATTTTAATTAAAAACTTTTCAATTATAAACTAATAATTTTCAAATAAAACTTAAAATTAAAACAGTTCATAAATTAATTAAAGTAATTTATTAACTAGATATGTGGTTATTAAATAATTCATCTCCTTTAACTTTTATCCTATCCTATTACTTCAATTTTTTAAGAATTTCTTAATTCAAGTTCCTCATAAAAGAATTCTTCTTTAGATCAGTTAGTAATGTGATAATTTAACAAATAAATTGTTCTACTCCTTTTTAAATACGACAAAACTTTTCTTATTGACCAAAAAAAGATAGATCTAATTAGCCTCTAATGAATTCAATAAATTGTAAGTCATTTGAATATAACTCATTTCAGAAAACGATAAATTGAATTTACAGATACTTAGCAAGAGGTTCTTCAGATAATTTGTCTTTTCCATCAGTTTGTTTTGCAATTACAACTGTTTGTTTATAAATAGTTGTTTGTTTAGGAATTTGGTAATTGAAAAAAAATTTTTCACATAATTCTTTTACTTGGTTTTGTTCTTCTTTTTTAAATACTAAATGATTTTCCATTTCAGTACAACGTTTATTGCATTCTTCTAATGATTTAAATATTTCTTGGTTTATTATAAAATCACATGGAACTTCTTCTTCCATTTTTTTATCATTTTCTTTTTGTACCTCTCTTTCTTCTTCTAGTCCAACCTTATTCTCTTTACCAAACTGAACAGTTTCTTCTTCATCTCTAAGCCCGTACACTTTTTTTCTATATTCATTGTATTTTTCAGTTTCTTCTTCAGAAGGCATATAGTTATCAATTGTTTCAATTTTTTTAATTTCTTCTCGAGCTTGTTTAGTCGTCATAACTCCTACACCAATCTCTTTTCCATCTTCAATATACTTCTTATAATTTTGTATTCCTAGAGTTGAATTTGATAATTCACCAATGCCAACTATTCTATTCCCATCAAATGCAGTTGTTTCAATAGTTAAGTCCCAAGCAACTTTTCTTCTATCAACTTGTTTTATATTTGAGGAAATGTCAACTGACTTGACAATTGAAATATACTCTTCTTGTCCATTTACAACTTTAACATATTTATTTACAATATACCGTTCAAATATTGCTGTGTCAGCATAAGAAAGTGCATTCTCTCGAGTGATGTATAATTCTTTCATTTGCTTAAATGTTAATGATTTTCCTTTGTCTTTCCTTCCTCTACTTTTAGGTGTTTTTGTACCTCTTGACCTTTTCTTTTTCCTTTCCTCTTTTTCGTCTTCTTCTGTCCCATCTTCTTCAACACTTATATCTTCTTCATCAATTAGGTCTTCATCACTGTGGTATTCTTCTTGATCTTCTTGGTCATCAAGAAAATCATCTTCTTCTTCATACTCTTCTTCCATTTTCTTTGTTTTGCTTCTCGTAACTCGTCGTGGGATATCAGACATTCTTTAAATTTATATTAATAATAGTTCTTTTTATTTTTTATAAAACTATACTTAAGCTATTAATTATTTAAATTAAATAGTAAATTAGATTTAGTTTGAACTTGATTCTTGTTCTTCCTGAGTGAGTAGTTGAGCAATTAAGAAATACAGTGATAGCCCAAGGAGGATGAATGAAACAACAACAACTATTCCAGTAAGAATATAATTAGCTAATACCCTAAATGTGTATGGGGTTTTTATAGAATCTTTACCGAAATCCTTCTTATTTCTATAGATGGATAATATTTCTAATGTTGCAGGAATAGTAAAAGCTAAGAATATTGCTAACAATCCAGTAACATCAAATATAACTTGTAAGGATCCTATTGCACATGTCAATAATAAAGGTGGAAGATAGGCAATCGCAAGACTAGAATATCGTGTAATTTTGTTATGTTTTTCACGAAAATTATGAGTAAAAC